AGCCGGTGAGATTAGAACCGCTGAACTGCAGATAACAGTCAGCTGAAGTGGCCTGCAGTACTGCACCCTAACCACTGCGCCACCTCGGCTCTTAGGTCCCAGAGACGGGCTGTTTTTCGTAAAAATGGAGGTGTTTTTGCCTTTCCCCAGCCTCCAGAGGCACTTTGCAGGCTTCCGAAGGGCAAGGGAGGGGAGGGGAAAATGCCGCCAGTTTTGGCAGAAAACGGGTGAAAAACGGGCCATTTTTTGCAAAATTGAGGCGTTTTTGCCTTCGCTAGTCCCCAGAAGCACTCTGCAGGCTTCAGAGAAGGGCTGGGGGAAGGCAAAAATGCCTCAATTTTTGTGAAAAACGGCCCATTGTCCACCCATTTTTTGCAACAACAAAAAAAACGGGCCTGTTTTTGTTTTCCCCCAGCCTTGCTGAAGCCTGCAGAGTGTTCCTAGGGGTCGGGGAGGACAAAATCTGTTTTTTTTTTCTTACTGGGTAGTTTGCAAGCGCTCCCTTAGCTCTGGCGAGGCTGGAGTGTCCCCTCTCCACTGTCAAAACTTTTCGCCACTTTTTCGATGAGCCTGGCTTGGTGAGTGGGTCATGTGACTAAGTGTGCGTGAGTGACGTCAAGCTGGCCACGCCCACATGCCCCTCCCATCTAGCCATGCTCAGTAGTAAAAAAATTTGAAAACCACCCCTGGCCGCATCTCTGCATTTTCGGCATTCGGCAATGCAGCAGTGGGATGACTGCAAGGACCAGCATTTACAGGTAGTTCTCGGTTTACGACAAACAAGCCCAACATTTCCATTGCTAAGTCATTAAGTGAATTGCATCTCGTTTACGACCTTTTTTTAAGTACAGCTGTTAAGCAAATCACTCCAGGGCTTAAGTGCAGTCGTTAAGCGAATCTGGCTTCCCCCCCTTGAGTTGGCAGGTTGAAAGCTGATTGGGAAATGGTGGTCACATGATCTTGTGAGTGTGCAATGATCAAAAATGCATGCCAGTTCGCCAAGTGCCCGAATTTTAATCTTGTTACCATGGGAATGCTGCAAACAGTCATAAGTTACAGATAGTCCTCGACTTGCAACAGTTCATTTAATGACCGTTGAAAGTTACAACGGCACTGAAAAATGTGACTTATGACCGTTTTTCAGAGTTATGACCTTTGAAGCACCCCCATGATCGTGGGATCAAAATTCAGATGCTTGCCAACTGGTTCGTATTTATGACCATTGCTGTGTCCCAGAATCGCGTGATCCCCTTTTGCGACCTTCTGACAAGCAAAGGGGAGGCCAGATCCACTTAAAAACCGTGTGACTAACTTAACAACTGCAGGGATGTTGCAACCATGTGACTGCACTGAACAATTGTGGTAAGAAAAGTCGTCAAATGGGGCAAAACTCACGTAACCAATTTTTCACTTAACAACATAAATTTGGGTCTCAATTGTGGTCGTAAGTCAAGGTCTACCTCGACTTCTGTTTTCTGACAAAAAAAGTCCCATAGAAAGCAACAGGTTTGCTTAATGACTGTGGTGTCCACTTTACAACCTATGCGTTTGCTTAATGGCCAACACACCAGAAAAGGTAAAATCAAGTAGAGTCATGTGGTAACCTGTTTAACGACTATCACGTTTTTATGATCATAATTGCAAGCTCAATTATCGTCATAAGTCAAGGACTTCTTGTAAAGATTTAGGTAAACTAGCTCTTGAGCTGGTCTCACCAACCGTTGGCATGAGTGAAGGTCTCCACTAGCTGAGCGGCCTCTTCTTGGATTTCAATCTCTATGCTTGTCTTCCCCACTCCAAGTTTCCGCATAACAACTAAGCCGAATCGCCTCTGCTGCTTCCAAGTGTGTCCGTTGGAAAGAATAATGCCTCAATCAAACAGAAATAAGTGAGGGAAATAAATAAANATCTTGATGATGTTCGGATGGACGGACGGGAGCGGGGAGCTGGAACCGGTTCTAAACGGCACTGTAGATTTGTGCAACCTCTTCTATAGAAGAGGTTAGAACTGGCAGGAACCCACCCCTGATCCTGTGACTACACCGACGGAGACTGTATGCTCTGAAGCTCCTTTCTGCCTATGAATCAGAGATGGTATGCTGCTGGTTCACATCAGTTCGGGTGAACCAGTAATGGCGGTGGCGCGAGGCTCCGCCCGCCCACCCTGACATCATCAAGGACCTTCTGGGCATGCCCAGATGTACACCCCCGCTACCGAAGAAAATAGAATACCATCTCTGCTATGAACGTATGAGTTACATAGCCCTGATATTTACCTGACAAGGCTGCCATGTAAAGCAAAGGAAACAGTCTTCTTCAGTCCAGGTTGTCCTCAAATTATAACAGTTCATTTAGTGATGGTTCGAAGTTGCAGCAACACTGAAAAAAGGAACTTATGACCGTTTTCACACTTGCAACCATCACAACATGGGTCATGTGATCAAAATTCAGGGGGAAAAAACCCTCCTAGCAAGTGGCTCATATTTATGACAGTTGCAGAGTGCCCAGGATCATTTGATCCGTTTTGTGACCTTCTGACAAGCAAAGTCAATGGGGAAGCCAGATTCACTGAACGACCGTGTTACTAAGGTAACAAGGGCAGTGATTCGCTTAACAACGGTGGCAAGAAAAGTTGTAAGGAGGGGGCAAAATCCCCCTCAGAAATGCTTCACTTAAGAGAAATGTTGGGCTTGATTGTGGTTGTAAGTCGAGGACTCTCTGTACTAGGAAGGCAATTGGAGCGAGGAGGAGCAGGGGAAGAGAGTAATCTGAATGATGCCCTTTTAATAGACTGTTCAAATGTCTGGCCTGTTGCTCGGGTTGCAAAATAAGTAAAGGAGGAATTCCAATGAGAGATAATACTCACTCTTTTCAACTGAAGTAGATAGTAATCAATAAAATCTCGGGGTTCGTGCAAGGACTGGTTTTCCTTGTGCTTCTCAATTTCCTCCTTCACCAGATCATAGATAAACTTAAAATGGGACAGCGTCTTTTGATGTGGCCCAGGAATGCGACTCATCAGCCAGGGAAATACTTCGTACAGCTGAAAGAAAGTAAATTTCAGGCCTGCACCCATCTTTCCTTTTGGGATCTTTGGCCTGCCACACCTTCTATATTATTCTACTGGGCATTTTCTATGGTGGGAAAATGGGAGGGGGGATTGTAAGGAGTGAGATGCGATGTAGCCATAACAACATTCTTTCTAGAAAGCCAAGGTCATCCTTTGCCTTTGCTCCTATGCACCTGACTGGAACTGGAGGGGTGGAACGGCCAGCATGGCAGTGGGAGACTGGACCATGGGATGGACTTGTGGGTGTGGGGGGCAAGATCTTGAACTTTCAACTG